GAGAAGAAAGAAAGGAGATGGGATTCGTTCATGGATTGCTAGATTTTTAACAATCTTATATGTCTTTTCATTCATTACTTTTTATCCTTAAAAAGCAAAACGGCATATTCTGTTCATTTAATGTTTATTTTCAATCAAATGGCAAAAGTTTCTAGAATTCCTCGATTTCTTCATTCTTGTTTTAGAAGTTCTGACACATCTATCTTTAAAAACAAATAAGAACTGACACAATTCTGGCAAAGTCATTTTAGGTGGATTCAGGAAGAAGAATATATAGACTTTGCTCTATTTGTCTCTATCCTTGAAATAATTTTTAATTCAAATTGACATAAAAATTAATTTTTAAAAGGGAGCTTTCATGTGGCAGACCTTAGATTGTGTGGGTTTGGACTTAGGGTAAGGAAGAACCTTCCGGCCACCAGCATCTTTTCCACATGGAATCTTGGATGGAGGTGGCTCCTCATCCACAGATATCATGCAGAGGCCGGCTAGAGCAATACTGATGGTGTGATTTTCTATTGTCAATGCAAGTTTGGGCTAGACACTTTGCCAGATCTTCGGTGCCTGGGGGTAAGGAGCTGTGCTGCCAACCTGAAGGCACATGGTTCAAGTCTACTAATTGCTTTGTGGGAGAAAGATGGGCAATTTCCTCCCATGCAATTTACTGCCTCTGAAAACTCCCTGGAGAGCCAGCTCTGAGTCAGTTCCAAACTGATGATAAAACCAACCTAACATCATAGGTCCTGGTAGATCTCTGCATCTCTTAGCATAGAAAGAGTTGTTTTGATAGATAACCAATATGTTCTTGTCCCTAATAGTTCCTCATAGACAGAACTTCTAGAACACAATGAAATGAAATGCAATGAGTGTAAATTCTTATAACCCAGAATCTTAGCACTATTCAGTAACCCCAAAGCCCAAGCTTGAAGCCCTGTTTCTGAAGCTATATAAGGAAGGATTACTTTATTGGGAAAATTCTAAGTAGCGGTGCAGCTCAGATTCCAAATGGGCTTTATGAGGATGCAGAGAGGCCCTCGTAGCTTTCTGAGTTAGCATCATGGTGGACTGACTACTCAGTATCAGCTGGTGCAAGGACAGGGTCATCTCAGGACGGGATCCTGGAAGAGACAGTGGGTCTCAGACAACAGGGTATGGCCTAGAGTGCTGGGCAAAGACCCCGATGCATTAAATGGCCCCTAGTGAAAAGTCTCAATGGGGATGAATCTGAGTCAGCAAGGCAGGGCACAGGCTAAGCACAAACCCTGACTACACTCAGCTGTGCTCTTCCTCTCTTTTGAATATTAAAGAAACCACAGTGAATGAAGCAGGTGGCCAGCTGCCATCAGGAGCCAAGAAACAGTGGCCGAGCTAGTTGATAACCATGTGGCCCAGAAGAGATAGTTCAATATTAGGTCACTGCTGGTCAGTTGTAGCCGGCATGGAGCTAAGCTCTTCACACACAAGCTGGCTCCAGGACCCCAAGGTGTCTTTTGGGAGATTCAAACCCTATATGCCTAGTTACAAAGTGGTATTAATGACAAAACGCCATTCCCTCCAACTCTCCCTGAAGGCACGTATTCCTCTATGATTCAGGCATCTCCTTCTCTATGTAATCAGTTAACTAAGAGGGCATGAGCTAGTGAGTGGAAGGGAATCCATCTGTCCTGAGACACTCGCTTCCCATGGCTGCGATATGCTCGCTGGGGTGCGATTTTCCCCACCATTACGCAGGGTGTCGGTGTGTCTTTTAGCAATGACGAGGCTCAACTTGAGCTGAACCCTTGAACGAACAGACATTTGAAGTCAGTAACTGGAAAGGATGCTCCCTTTGTGACGCATCATTTTGAGGAGATTCTGAATGTCAGATTGAAGAATAAAGAGCGAGATAGGACTGGGTTAATGGAGTAAAGGATCCTGTGTGCTCACATAGACGGCTCACTGACTCCTTTCATGGTCTGTGAAAATGAGCTGCTGTTTTAGCTTCTGATTCTCTTCAAGCCAGGATGGAGTCCCGCACTATTGTACTCACTTCAGACAGACATTGTCTCCTGGTTTAGTGGAAAGGGATGAATCCCATTTATCCATTAACCAACACATTCAATAAGAAAAGACTGCCTCGTGCCCTCAGGGGAGTAATTAACTCTTGGTTCAGCAAGGCACTAGCATTTTGGTACACTTGGGCCCCCACATATCCCAGGGTCCTGCTGAAGGCTCCTGTCCCAGCCCGTAGCTAAGAGAGTCTGCAGCAGTTCTTTAAACAATGGCCATTCAATTCTCTTGACCATGTGATACAGCATTTCCCTGTGATTTTCTAGGAACATGCCAGGAAAGGAAAGGGCAATAGGGTTTGGTTTTTTTTTAAATTTTTTTATGGCTCTGGTCGCTTTGAGGTAAGACATGGCCTTTCCCAGGGGTTGGAACCCACCAGCTGTTCTGCAAGAGAAAGGTGGCCAATCCCCCCCAGCGCAGTTAAACTGCCTATGAACACCTGCTGGAGGGTCAACCATGAGTCAGTTCTGATTTGACAGCACATAACAACAATAATAACAACAACATTCACTGGACTGTACGCACTGGGAATCTGTATGCCGTGGCGCTGTTGGACTTAATTAATACCAATTTTTAACCTTGCTTTTGAAAACAGCAGGAGCAAGGAGGTGACCGGCCAGGCTGGGCCAGCGGCTCGGAGCCCCAGAAGCGGCTCTGTGCCCCAGCCCCGTGGGCACAGGGACTTACTGTCATACTCCTGCAGCAGTTCCACCGCAGTCAGGAGAACGGCTCTGTGCTCCGGGTCCCTGATGTTTAACTCGTCCAAGTCTTCCTCCTCCAGGAGCTTAAAGGTGTCCAGATCTTCATAGCCATTAAACAGGAACGTGGGCATGTGCTCCTGAGAGATAGAGAAGGCAGAAGTGAGTCCGCAGATCCTGCCCTGTGACACGTGACTGACTAACGGCGAGGTTAAACCCTGCCACCCCCTTCCATCATTTTTATGCTAATGTGAAGATTAGTCAGCGCCATCTGCATTATAAGCTGTGCATCCCACTCCTACGGCTCAGGAGGCAGACGGGGCATTTTATTAACCGGGGGCTGAGAAGACGGGCAGGGCATGCCGTGACGGAGCCCACCGGCTTGCCTTCTAATTGTGCCCTTGACAGGCACTGACTGCTTTAACGCAACACATCACAGCAAGGAGGAGAGTCTGCCTTCATTCCCAGAGCTTTTGAACTACAACTCAGCGAGCTCTCTCGCTTACTCAGGAGCAAGAGGGTTTTGCAAGGACCATTGCAGATCTAGTCTCCCGAGGGCTGGGAGTGATGGTGGTGAAGAGGCTGGGGGAAGGGTTCTCATGGCGCCTGCGGAGGGTGCCTGCTGGCCGTTCAGCAGGCAGTGCGCTAGGAGCCAGAGTGCCCTTCTGGGTGGGGCGCAAAGCTCTCATTTCTTTAAAAGTTGCCCTTTGGGTCACTACCAAGTTTTGACCTGGGCTTATGAAATCACTGTAGCAGAGGTCCAGGGCAACATGAGAACACTGACAAGTATTCCAGCTTTTTAAAAAGTCACAGATGCCACTTTGATGACTAAGGTGCATCTGATCATGATCACTTGTCTCATATGCATGCAAAAGTCAGAGACTGAGAAAGAAGACGGAACTGATGTGTTTAAACTGTGGTACTGGCGAGGAATGCAGAGTGCCTTCTTTTATACCCATATAATATACACATTACACGTTTCTGCATTAGTTTCTCGTGTACACCACATGTGTGCATTATTTAAGCAGAGAAGCCTGTGTGGAAAGGTAGGGGAAGTCTCGGACTGCCAGAAGAGTGAACAAATCTGTTTTGTTGATGTGTGTTGTCAAGTCAGAATCGACTCATAGCTGAGCTGCCAGCAGGTTTTCAGAGGCTGTAAAGTGCATGAGAGGAGATTGCCCGTCCTTCTCCCCCAGAACTGCTGGTGGATTCAAACTGCGTGTCTTTGAGATTGCAGAGCAGCTTCTTACCACTAGGCCACCAGAGCTACCACTGAATTCATTTTAGGAAAGCCAGAACATTCCTTAGAGCAAAGACGGTGAGATTACTGCTCCCTCTGGATATGCCATGAACTAAGACATACTGCTAGAAAAGTACACCGTGTCTGGTAAAGGGACGGACCAGAGAAACTAGAGAAACCTGTAGTGAGGTGGAATGACACATTAAAGGCAACCCTTGGGGAAGGTCGGGCAGAGCCAGGCAGCCGTGTACTCTGCTTACACACAGGGTCAACATCGAACAGAACTGACTTACTGGCAACTAATAACAACAACAACAGCCATCTCTGCAAAATACTGGCTATTCCATTCGTGTTGAATGACAGAGGTCACCCTCTACGACGTCCTAAAACCACCTCTTCAACCTCCTGCTTTAAGAGCAGACAACGTGTGAAGTGAATACTGCGTGACGATGGTAAGTGACTGACTTTCAGGTTAATCCGGTCGAGCAGATCTTCCACAGACTTGGGCTGGGGTGGTCTTCCTTTCCGCCTCCTCCTGGTGGGGCGCTTGGGCTTCTCCTCCTCCTCATTCAGCACATCCACGTAGATGAACTTGAACGTGCCGACTTTGTTGTTCAACAGGCCCATCCACGTCCCCATGGGTGGCTTGCTGATTATATCAATGATATCGCCTTTCTATGGACGAAGGAACAAAGGTCTTTCCATTAGATACAGTTCTAAGCACAAGCCAGTCAAATGCATTTACTATTCAGATGTGGAATCACTCTGAAGACCAGAGCCACATAAATCACCCTTTTGAATGATTTACAGAAAAGAATGACTTGGGAGTTTGCACGAAGGCCAAAATAAAGGCTTAGGTCTTTATCTCCACTCTCTGGTGCCACAGGATGAGGTGGGTTTGAGAAGTACCTAGACTGAGGTGTGCAGTCACCATAAACTTGGCCCTCTGAATACCCTTTTATCATCTACTTCCTGGAAGAAAACTCTTCCACCCATCAAATGCCAGTGGCAATCTACCCCGTAATGATGATGTCCTGTGTTTCCTAAGGCACCATCTTCCCCATAGAAAGACCTCTAATCACTCAGAGAGGGCAGGAATCTCTCATCAGCATAGCAATTGAGGTAGAAGTGGAGAGCCTCAGAGCAGAGAACACGGGGGCTGCAGAGGGAATTAATGCCTGAAAGTTGGCTAGTCTCTTGTCTGTCTTCCCAAAATGGGGACAAGTTTGTAAAGATACTGTCCAGTATATTCCATGAGAGCCCAGCAAAAAGGGAGCAAAAAGGAAAATTCTGTGAAGAAACAAAGAAAATGATGCACATAACTCTCTGGGGTCAGAGGAGACATTGTGAAGAATTAAAAGTGTGCTCCCCTCAAACTATGTTCTGTGATCTTGTTTGGAAATAGGGTTTCTTTGTTGTGTAATTAAGGCCCTAATCAGTGTAGGGTGTGCCCTAAATTTCTGAGTTAGAGAAAGAGATTACCACAGGGCTAAACAGGATTGGGGGTGGGGGTGGGGCTGGCGGAGGGTGCATGGAGCCTAGAAGAGAGGACACCTGTCTGCCTGAAAAACAAAAACAGAGTTGTTGAGTTAGTCACCAACAGCCCCCTTGTGTCCTGTAGGATGACTCTGAATCAGCCATTCCTGGAGATCCCACAGGACAGAACAGAACTGTCCTACAGGGTTTCTGTGGCTATAAATCTTTACAGAAGTGGACTGTCAGGCTGCTTGGGCTCAAACTGCTAACCTTGAGGTTCGCAGACAAGCACTCTGACCAGTACGCCAGAGGCGGATAAATATATAAGCCCAAGTCCTTCCAAGATTGCTGGCTCCTAGAAGCTAAAAATGGAGCCCTGGTAGCTCAGTGAGTAAGCACTCAGCAGCTCATAAAAAGGTCAATAATAAGAACCTGCCAGTCGCTTATCGAACAAAGTTTAACAGGGCAGCAAAGCAAGTAAGAGACGGTGGGGAGGATGTGGCAAGAAAGGAACTCTTATACACTGTTGGTGGGATTGTAAAATGGTCCAACCATTCTGGAAGGCAGTTTGGTGCTTCCTTAAAAAGGTGAACATAGAAATTCCATATGACCCAGCTATTTTACTACTTGGAATATACCCTGAGAATATGGGAACTGAGGCACAAACTGAGATTTACACACCAAACTTCCTAGCAGCATTATTCACCATTGCAAGAACATGGAAAACAGCCCAAATGTCCAACCACAAGTGAATAGAAAAATTATGGTACATTCATACAATGGAATACTACGCAGCATGCAGGAGCAATAACTTTGTAAATTATTACCTAACTGGGGAGGGACTGAAGAGCATTATGTTGAGTGAACTAACTCAGTCCCATAAGGATAAATATTGTATAAAACCATTATTGTAGAATGAGTATAAGGATCCAGGAGGGGTGGGAGAGGCTGGAAGCAGAGGGATGTGGAGGTACAGGGGGAAGGGGGGGTTAATCATTGGATTGTACAATTTGATGGGGGAGGTGAGGGAAATGGAAAGAATTTGTTCAAATTTGTATTCAAATTTTGTAAACAAACTAGTAAAGAAAGGGGGAAAAAAGATTTACAGCCTTGGCACATACACAGAATAGCTCCACTCTGCTCTCCAGGCTGGCTAAAAGTTGGAATTTATCCCAGGGCCACAATAAGAACTCTCAGGAGTTGAAATAGACTAGAACCTCCACCTGGAGTCACACCTACATTTGGGCATCTTTTCTCATGAACTGAGAGAACAATCAATGTTATTCTTTAAAGCTTGCCACTTTGGGGCATTTCGCAGCACATGCCTTGAGCTTGAGCGAGTCCGTGTCGTAGGGGCTGGGCGTGAAGTCGGTGTGCACCCGGGCGCGCCCACAGAAGGGGCCCCGGTAGGGCGGCTCTTCATCGTCACCGTCTTCTGACTTGACACTCTCCCTGTTGCTGGTGGAAGAATCCGTCGTGCTCACGGTTTGGCCACCTATCCAGGAAAAAAAGGAAGAATACGGCTAAGTTGCAGATCTCCTGCACACAGGCTAGGAAGAGAATGATTCAGGGGTCATTAAGTGTCAGGCCGGCTGCAGGGAGGCCCTGAAAACCATCCCTCTCAAACTTCCAACAGCAGGGGAAATATAAGACAGAGACTCCCGAATGCACCCTGCCTTTAACACCCACGTCCAATAATTGGTAGGTATCCTATCAATACTCCATTTGACATATAAGGACACACACTGTCCTGGAGGGGTGAAGTCCCTTGCCCAAGGCCAAGAGCTCTAAGTGGTGTCAGTAACCCTTGGTTTTCCCCCATTACCAGCTGATCTACACCCCCACCAGTCCTGGAGTGGATGGTGGTGTCTGTTACCAAAGACACATGCTCCTCTCGGCCTTCTCCTTGGATTGTGCAAACAGTTAACATACTCAGCTACCAATTAAAAGGCTGAAGGTTTGAGTCTATTCAGGAGGTACCTCAGAAGAAAAACTGGGAGACTTACTCCCCCAAAAACCATCCACTGAAAATCCTAGGAGGCCCTGTTGTATTGGGACAACCATGGGGCCACCAGGAGCTGGAATATCAACTTGATGGCAGATGCTTTCTTTTTCCCTTTCCCCCCCACTAACCCCCACCCTTATTTTGCTGGTCTTCACAGACCCTGTGAACACAAGATCCTTCTTCCAAGATGCTTTGCTATCCTCTCCCTCAAAATCAGTAAGCCCTGTGGTCCCACCACTTAGTGACTAAATAAGTCTGATTAAGTCCCGCCATCTGCAGCGGTGTCACCAACGGCTCCTTAATGGTGAGAAGGGGTTGTTTTGAATCACCTGCGAGCAGCGTTCAGTAAGGGGCTGGTTTTAACTCCCAAGGTTCCATCCACACTTACTCATTGAGCTCTGGCCGCTCAGCGAGCTTCGCAGGCTCTCCACAGAGCCACCCGCCTTGAGCTTGGGTTTGTCCATGCGCTCTGAGTCCGGCTGGGATGACGGAGGGGAGCCGGGCATTCCATCAAGGCCTGAGTCCTGAAACGGTGTCAACAGAATGAAGTTTCATCATGGTGGGCACGCGTCATTTTGTAACTTGCAAGCATCTGCTGCTATGTGAGTTAAGTGCCATCAAGGAAGCCTCCACTCAGGGGAAGTGATGGGCACTATCTTTATGGGGATTGGGTCCATCATGGTAGCTATTTCTCAGCAATTTAATCCTTCATTCAATCAATCAAATAGGTCTTCATATCCATATTTTATTTGAGACCCAGGATTCTCCTCCTTTTTAATCTATATTATCTGTATTTTTAAGTAATTATTGTTAACTTTATGTAAGTATTATTTCAAGCACTCGAAATTATTTTTCATATGCAAATAAATGTCCTTGAAAGCTTCACCTACACATCTACCTCTTTGACAAAATATTTATTTAAAGGCTTAGAGAGGCCAAGCATATTTAATAGTCTACCAACAAGGCTGGACTTTAAATGTAGGTCACACACAATTCACTATTCATCTAGGATCTGGAAGGACAATCACAGAATAATTCAACAACCTTAGAAATGGGCATCTACCCTGGGAGAAAAGCGCACTGCCTGTTTAAAAGCATCCTGGCTGGAGTCTCATGGTTTTTCTTTAACAAATGGTTAAAACTGGCTAAAGAAATGTCAACTAAGAGACATAAATGGTGAAAATGCAGTTTTTCTGTCAGTAACAAAATTTCTACATGTCACACTGTGAATCGCTGTACAGGCAGGAAGAGATCAGAATACAGAGCATAACACCTCGGCAATGCTCTGCCTTTCTTTGGGGGAGCAGTAGAGGGCGCTCTGGTGGCCTACTGGGTAAGGAGCTGCACTGCCAACTCAAGAGCAAGCAGTTCAAATCCACACGTTGCAAGAACGACAATCTCCTGCTGCGTGATTTACCGCTTCTGAAAACCCACTGCGCGGTCAGTTAAGAGTCCTTTCTGACTTAATAGCACAGCAACAACAGTGAATTTTCAAAGGAACCCTATTGCCGTATTCTGTTACAGGTGGGGATGCTAATTGGAAGGTTGGCAGTTCAAATCCACCAGTTGCTCTGTGTAAGAAAAATGAGCTCTTATTAAGCTTTGCAGCTTGAGAAATCTGATGGAGAGTCAGAATTGACTCCAATAGTGATGGGATTGCCTTTCCTGGATTCTAAGTCTAGCAGCTCCTGTTTGCGTGGAGAAAAGCATGACATGTTGATCAGATTCCTGGTGTTCTCAGGGCACACATGACCACACTTCCCAAAGTCTGTAGAGAGAAGAGTTGATTTGCTAGGCTAGACGGCTCACTGGCGTATGACTCAGCCACGTGAGCGTAAAACCAGCTGAAGGGAACCTGTTATTTGCACGCTGCCGAATCATCACAAGGACTAGAACGCGTCCCTGCAGGCCCTAGAGAAAGCATTTCCTCACCCAGAACCCCCTTCAGAAAAGCAAGCAGACGACCACAAACACAGCGGCTAGGAACAGTTATCATTATAGGAAATAGCTGAAATGGCAAAGCAGATCTCTTGGAATACACTTCCATTCTGACTGTCTGAATCATAAAGTCAATGACATTTTTACTTAAATAGCTTTGAGGTGGGGGGGGGAAACCCCATCTTTTGGAAGAAATATGAGACATACATCTCTGCTGTAATACGGTCTCAGATGTTTTGCCTAATGTTAACGAATTCGTCACTTTTTTAATTGATTATGGGTAAGAACAGGAACCGACCCAGATGGGGCGGGGGGCACAGCCATGAATCAAGCTCCCTATCAGTGGGGCTGCACTAAAAATTCAGGAGCAACAACCAAGAACCTAGCAGCATGAAGTCTCTGCCTACACAAAAGCATTACAATGATGCTTATTTTTAACATCTATGAAATGAACACATTAAATAAAATAGCAAACAGGATAACTAAGAACACAAGATTGTTGGCTGGTAGTATAATGATAGAAAAACACTCAAAATGACACTAGGATTCCATGATTACGATCTATCAAACGGTGAGCACCAAGGCGTGTGGGTTTTTTGAGGGTGAACTCCAAGGTGCGTGGGTTTTTTGAGGCTTTTAGCAGCTTTTTGAATTTGGGGAAAAAGCAAACACAACGAAATGCTTTTAGCAAGCTGTGATCTCTCTCTCTCACCTCATAGGAGCATCATGGCTGCTATGCCGATGGAGGCGGACGAAAAGACGGGACACTATTCAGGGAACACGCACAGATGCTGCCCAGACTTGCTCTGCACATCTAATAACCCAGGATTTCTCAACCCCGGCACAACTAATATATAGGATTGCCTAATCTGCGAATGTGGGGGTGTCCTGAGCATTATAAAATGCTGAGAAGCATCTCTGGTCTGGACCCATTGGCTAATCTGCTAATATGGGGGTGTCCTGGGCATTACAAAGTGCTGAGGAACAACTCTGGTCTGGACCCACCAGCTGTCAGTAATCTGCCCTTTCTCCAGCCAGTCCAGTCATGACGATCAAAAAACCTCTCTAGACATGGCCTCGGGGTTGGGTGGGAGCAAAACCCCCAGAGAAGCCTTGTAGTAGAGGGAAGGTGACCAGTTAGGACTGGTTTTATGTTAGCTGGGATTCTGTGAGTTGCACAGAAGGCTTGAACACTTGACTCATGGGCCCAGCAGAGGGCAGCAGCTAAGCAGATACCTGCTTTCTTGACTGGTAGACCCAGAGGCACCACCCACATATAGAGGCAATCAGACCAGGTACAGATACACCTCATTTCACTGTGTCTCATGTATAATGCCTTTATTTTTTTATTTAAAAAAAAAAAAAATCTGTGGCAATCCTGTATAAAAAGCAAGTCTTTTTTTTCCATCTGTGGCAATCCTGTATAAAAAGCAAGTCTTCTCATGCCATTTTCCCAACAGCTTACGCTCGCCTTATACCTCTGTCATATTATCACAATACCTCAAACTTTTTCATAACACTATTGCTCACTTAATAGACTATAACATAGCTCCCATACAACTTTTGTATTGTTGTTGTTGTTACGTGCCATCGAGTCGCTTGCAACTCATAGCGACCCTATGTACAAGAGCTCTAAATGCCGTTCTATCCTGTGCCAACCTAGCCATCTCAAATGCACTCATTCCCACCACTCCAGTCACAGAATCGATCCATCTCATCGAAGGTCTTCCTCTCCTTCACCTCCCCTCCACTCTGCCAAACATGATGTCAAGGTCCAGTCCCTCCTTGCAACATGCCCAAAATATGTCAGACAAAGCTTCAGAATCCTTGACTCCAAGGAGCATTCCGGCTTCACCTTCTCCAGGACAAACCTGTTTGTTCTCCTAGCAGTCCATGGTATATTCAACCCTCTTCTCCAGCACCACAGCTCAAAGGCATCAATTCTCTTTCTATCAACCCTATTCACTGTCCGACTCTCTGACGCATAGCACATAACTGCGAAGACTATAGCCCGGATCAGGGTATATAATGTAATGTATACAACTTTTGTATACATTAGGAAATAAAAATTTGGAAAAAAAAAATCACGTGAGTTGTGGTGGTCTGGAACTGAACCCGCAGAAGTCCTCAGACTCCAGAAAGTGCTGTCACAGCAATAAGAGACCCCCATGGTCAACACGTCGCATCTCGGTGGTATGTCCAGTCCTTTTACTGGGCAATTGAGACAAACACTAGTTACCTTTCTTGGGGAGAAATTCTAGAAATAAGGGGTGGTTGTGGTGGAAGCAAATTCCATGACACCTAATTTGAGAGGCTGGTCAATGAAACATGGTTTGTGGGAACACTTATATTATGGGAGTCATGTGGCAGTAAGCATTTTCAGCTTACCCACCCTTTACTTCTCCAGCTTGCAGTATGCTTCTGGAACGAATGATTGATGAGAAACACCACACTTCAAAAGCCCACTCATGGAGAGAACTGGACTCTTTCTTTGGTTTGATTCTGATGAAAGCTATCTGCAGCAACTGGCATTTTAGAGGATGGAATGTTTGTGTTTACATTTCAGCACGCCTGGTACAGAGAAGGGAACAATTCCTTTACACCTCTGTTTCCCCTCTCTTCTCCTTTCTGAGTGTGTATTCCCAGCACAAGCACAGGGCTGTGCATGCCTGAGTGACTTTGTGTTCACACAATGAATGTCTGTGACGCGCAGTGTTTGTCCACAGAAACAAAGCACAATTATGTTGAGAGTAGCAGGCGTCATCTATCTACAACCTTGTCCGGGAGAGGCTGGGTGCCTTGAACTTGGGAGCTGCGTACCTGCTCCACAACAGAGCTGCTGTACTTCTTAGACATCCTCTTCCTCATTGTCTCTTTCACCGACTTCACCTTTTTCCCCAGAGAGATACGGGAGGCAGGGGGCGATTTGATTACTTCTTTGTACACAAAATCTCCTTCTTTGCCCTGGAAAACAAAATATTACAAAGGGAGCTTTAATTCATGGTGACAGCCCGCAATGTCTTGCCTTGACACTCCTCAAGAATACCTAGAGTCTCTGGGATCCCAAGAGGCACCACAGAAGAAAGACTTGGCAAACCTCCTGTGAAAAATCAGCCATTGAAAATCGGATGGCACACAGTTCTGCACTGAGCCACACGAGGTCACCATGGCAACTGGTAACCACTGAAAGTGAAGTCCAGAAGCAGGTTTTAGTATTCAAACCCACCTCTCAAAGCAGCACTGGCATCTGCCAGGTTCTTTAGTTTCCGCAGGATAACTCAGGGCTGTGTTATTTGTCTGTGGGATAAAAAGCGGAACCGACTGAGCCCTGAGGAGTTTTCTGTCTGTTTAAAGGGAACTGTGAATCATTTTTCTTTTCATTCAATCTTAGTACAGTTGTCTCTGATTACATTTTCCCCACCATTTTCTAAAATCCAGGGAATACGGGGAGAGTCAGCACAATTTCACCAAAGTAAATGATGACAACGAGAAAGATGGGACAACCAGAGCTATGCTGGCTTCATATAAGGATCTGCGCGCCAATCCCGAAGGCACACGGTTCAAATCTGCCAGCTGCTCCATGGGGGATAGACAAGCAATCGCTTCTCACGCGATTAAAATTCTCTCTCTGAAAACCTACTGGAGGGGCAGCAATGGGTCGGTTCCGACTCGACAGTACTCAACAACAACAGAATAAGTACAGGGAACTCTGGTGGCCTGGTGGTAAAGAGTTGTGCTGCCAACCCAAAGGCATGTGGTTCAAATTCACCAGGTGCTCTGTGAAGAATCCCCTCCAGTGAGATTTATGGCCTTCTGAAAATCTGCTGGAGGGTCAGTCAGGAGTCGGTTCCACAGCACATAACAACAACGGAGTAAATATCATCTCCTCCCATAAGGGTGTGCAGCCTGAGAAGCCTAGTGGAGGATCACCAGGAGCTGCCGTCTACAAAGACAGTGGATCTCGTGGTCAACATAGAAGGAGCCCTTGTGGGGTAGTCAGTTAACTGTTGGGCTGTCGACCACTCCACGTTCCTGCTAATATTTGTTGTTGTTAAGTGCTGTCGAGTCAAGAAGGACTCTTAGTGATGCTACGAACAGCCCTGAACCCTGTGCCATCTTCATCATGTCAGCGAAGATTTCAGGACTCAGAAACATGGTGTGGCAGTCCCACTCGGTCAGAATGAACTCTTTAGATAGGAGTTTGGATTTTTGGTTTTTGCAAACACATAGAAACACCGGGGACACTATAGTTAAAGCAGCAGCCTGCAACAGTAAACATCAGTGATTCCAGCACACCAGTTGCTCTGTGGGAGACAGACGGGGCAGCCGCATGAGTGCAGATTTCCAGCCCCAGAATCCCTATAGGGCAGTTCTAGCCTGTCCTCTCACCCTGGAGGACTGCTGAGGGTTGGGACGGGCTCAACAGCGGTGGGTTTGCAGGAACAGTGACAGCAAGCACACGCATGCGAGTCATTAGGTAGGCAGTCATTATGCTCTCTGGGTGGGGGAAAGTGGGTGGAAATACACGTGGATATATGTATGTACGTGTTTATATATGCTGCATATGAACTCTCATCTACAGTAAGATACAGAGGGAGCATGGTTAGAGATCTTTCCCAGACATATCCCAACACCTCGTGGAATTCATTTACTAGCATTGCAAGGTCAGGAAGGTCAGGAAATAGTCTTGTGAGACAACCACATCAATTGGCATAGCTTAGTTCCTAAAGATAAGGTTCCAAAGCCTAGTTTCTTAAGTGACGTTTGGGGTCTTAACATCTCACAAAGGGCCACTGAAGATTGGTCTCTACTTGTCTGGAGTGAAGGAGAGTGAAGGAAAACAAAGATTCAAGGAAGAAATCAGTCCACAAGTCTGGCAACCCCGATGAATGGCCAGCACTTCTAGCCCGAGACCATTAGAATGAGACGGTGCCCGACCACCACCACTGATACTTCCGACCGAGGAAATAACAGAAGGTCCAGGTTAGAACGGACGACAAATGGATAACAAGATTCAAATTCCTAAAACCAGACTGTCTGGGATGAGAGAAATCCCTGAGACGATCACTGTGTGATATAATTTGAACCTGGAACCGAAGTCATTGATAGAGTTCATCTTCCAGCTAATTAACAAATTGGCCTGAAAAATCAGTTAACACCCAGGAGGGATGTGCCCTTTCAACAATCAGCCCTGGAGACTAAATAATCAACATTTACCCAGAAACAAAGATGAGAAGGCAAGGGAGGGCAGGTCAGCTAGGAGACAAATAAGGCAGCCAGGAAAGGATGAGAGAGCTGACACATTACCGGGACCGTAACAAATATCACCGAAACCTCTGTGTACTGATTGATGAATGGGACCCCGTTGACTGTATGGGAACTTACTTTGCTGTATAAACTTCATCTAAAATCCACATGCTGCTGCGATGGCTACTGTTGTTGTGCACTGTGAAATCAGAACCGAACCATAGTTGACCCTCCTGTGAGTTTTCAAAGGAAGTGAATCTCACAGGAGGAGATTACCCATTCTTCTCCTGCGGAGCAGCTGGTGGCCTCGAACAGCGTGCCTTTGGGATTGCAGCACAGCTTCTTGCCACTAGGCCACCAGAACTCCCTAAAATACACATAGTGAAAATGAAACATATTCCTTCCCTCCAAAAAAAAAAAAAAAAAAAAAAACCCAAACAAACCTAAGAGGGCTGCATTTCATCCATAAATAGTCATTAGTGAATTCTGACTTCCTACATACCTATAATTCCAGCAGTCTGGGAAGAGAGGGGAAACACTACCAATTCCTTTTAGATAAAGGGTAAGAAGTCAGAACAAAATGAGGAAAGCTCAGCCATTGAGAGTCCAACGTCTGATTGAATTTCTGTCATCGTAAGTTACGGGCGGGCTGCTTGGTTGCTAACTGAAAGGCTGGTGGTTCAAAGCTGACTCAGTTGTTCTTTGGGAGAAAAGACTTGATCGTCTGCCCCCATTTAGATTACAGCTGAGAAACAGGATGGGTTTTCATGGGGTCACTAGGAATGGGAATTAATAACAAATTGTGGGAGCTTATGGAAAGGAGTCGCGTGCCATTCCAATAGCATGTGGTTCGAGTCCAGCTGTTCCACAGAAGAGAGATGGTCCATCTCTTCCTGTGTGATACAGTACCTCTGAAAACAACTGGAGGGTCAGCTGTGCGTTGGGTTAGACTTGATAGCACATGGTAACAAGGGAGTTCTGATGGAACACGGGAGTTCTGGTAAAACTGAGCTACTAACTCAAAGATGGTGGCATTGAGCTATCCACTCAAATGTGATGCTTCCCTGGAAGTTCAAATCCACCAGCATGAGAAAGATGGACAAACCCTTCCCACACAATTCACAATGTCTGAGCACCCGCTGGAGGGCCAGCTCTGAGTTCTCATTTAACAGCATAGACCGAACAACAACATTTGGCGTGATCAGCTCTGAAGGGTAGATTTCTTCTTCTAAACAAGGCAGACTGTGGTCACCTCTCACTCAATTTGTCATTAAAAGCAAAACATAAAATCAAAATGTCTTCAGGAAAGGGGGGAAACGGCACTTGCTTTTCTTTCTTCAAGATTTACTAAACAAGATTATTAATTTATCAATCAATAAAATGTTATATCCAATTAAAATAGTTTTCTTCTTACAGGAAATTCTCAGATCCCTTCTACTTCACACTGAACGTATGTGGCTGACACGTGGTGATAAACAAACTGAACTCCAAACTTCCCAGTTTTATAAAACACACAAGGGACGAACAAAGCCACACCTCAGATTCACCTAAGTTCCTGGGGTTTGAGAAAGCGAATTTTATGGAGCAGGCCATGTAGGAGACAGAAGCGGCCTGTCCCTGAGCTGTAAGCTAATCTAGCTGCCTCCGGGCAGCCAATACCTTGTAGTCATGAGGAATTACACCTATTTTGACCCCAAAGAGACTGGGTAATTCTATGCCATTATCAGACCAGAAACACCTAGGTTTTCCATAAGCCTTGGGCACTATAAACTTAAGCCCATGATGCGGATGTTGTTGTTGTTGTTGTTGAGTGCTATCAAGTCAGGATTGACTCACAGCTGACCCTCCAGTGTGTTTTCAGAGGCAACAGTCACAGGGGACGACATTGCCTCTGGTGGTGCAAACACTCAGTATGCAAATCGCAGCATTCCACTGCATTATCTGTGAATTGTTATTAGATATACTTGCACTAACAGGAAGAAAAAAACATGCATGCACAAATGGTTAAATCCATGAGAGTCAAAGCCAATGGAGGAATGGTTTTACTTGAGCAGATTTAGAAACAAAGGCATTAAAGGACCTGGGCCCCCATGGAGGGATGAGGTCACAGGTGGACCTGTGGACCAGGGAGGAGTCCCAGACCAGGAGAAACAGGGCTTTTTCTGACGTGATTCAGGCCCATTGAGGGTCAGCGTGATGATGGGGTCAGGGGCTTATAGTGACCTTATATGACAGAGCAGAACTGCCTCACAGGATTTTCTGGACTTAGCAGAATCTTAACCGATCTTTCTCCCACAGAGCTGCTAGGTGGGTCTCACCCACCAGTCTTTTAGTTAGCAAGAGGGCTCCTTACCCAGTTTTCATTTCCACAAAAAGTAGTACATGTGAAATTTTTGTCACCCCCATCACTTGAATCCTGACCACCTTCCTTCTGACATGTGCACCTCTGATGGCTTCTCTTCTTCAGACACATACTCACCATCGGGTCGGAGTTGTTATTGCCAATGTGTAGAGTGCGGTTGGTCAGGTCAAATCCTCCAAAGCTGCAGGTTCTCTGTGGAGAGCAGAGAGTGGGGCGGGGAGAGACCAGTCAGCACTGAGTCAGCCTTCAGCGCCCGACCCCAGAGCCCCCTGTCCTGGAGAGCACTGAATCACAAATGTGTGTGTACAGGATGAATGTGGGAAACAAGAAATGATGAGGAGGGAAGAGTCACATGGTCATGTCATAAAGAAACGTCCCTCGGTGTGTCCCTCCACGGGCCACCAGAATGCTTCTTCATCCTAAATCCTGATCTCCTTCACATGCAAAACCCAACAGGTTATTCAAGAACCCAAACAACAGAGGGGAAAACTCCATGTTTTTAGTGCTTTAAGTAAGTTCTCGTCTCAGCAATAAAGCGTCTCTTTCTACTTTCCCTAATGCAAGCTACACAGTCCTGATGGGGAGGAAATAGTTATCAGGGCACCCATGTGTTCAAGAGTCTTGGAAACTCAGCCTGAAATGCTGCTACAGTGAGGAGAGTCATGGGGTTTTCATCTCAAAGGCAACTGACAGAGGCTTTTCTAACAAACTTGTGTTTTGTTTAGTTTTAAATCACTGGGAAAGGAAAGGGGGGGTTATGTTTACAGCAGTCCAATCAAGCCAAGAGGATTACTCACTCCTGCCTTGCCTGGCTTAGCCAAGTATGTGGAGAGCTTTCCAATCCAGCTGCCCAACCTAATTAATTATGACCCTATTTCTCATAGCGTATAAATGAAGACACCGCATTTCCCCCCAGAAAGAAAAAACGCTCACTCTGTGACTGCCTCTGACCACACTCTTTCATTTCAATAGGAAAATCAGCAGCGCTGGATAAAGGACAAGAACTTTACTGCCTTCTCAGCTGGGTTCAAACCTCATGGAACTGCCTCTCACATTTCAGTGACTTTGTATTTCCAGAATTGACTTTGAACTTGCTGTTGTTGTATCAGTAAAAGATACTCAATGGAATAAACCAAATTATTTTAAAAAGGGAGAAAAAGGCCTCATAAATGAAAATAAGAATCTCTAGGAAGAAAGAGAAACGCAAAGCTCATTACTTTTTGAATAATACTGTTCATCTTAGCAATGTAGAATCAAAGCTGAATAGTAGATTTGGAACTCGTTACTTTGCATTGCACGTTTCTCAAAGAGCCACAGTTTGTAACCATTAAATGGAAGAAACGAACAAGAAAACCCAACAGATACTGTCAGTGTTGCTCATTTAGAACAAATATGTGGCCAATGAATATTAATGAGCTGAATTAATAAAGGAGAAACTCTCTGAAGAGGAAAGTCTAGGCAGTGGAGTCACCCAGCAAATTCAAGTCTGGGTCCCGCCACTTCTGGCTCTGCGATCAACCACTCAGGCTCTCTGAGCGCTGAATGCTTCACAGGTGACACAGAAGCGACCTAGCTCATTGGATCTGAAGCCTTCTGAATGCCATCAAACGGAATATGTATGAACCGTTTAACGGAAAGCCAATTTGCCACTTTTGACCCAAAATGTGTATGAATTGTGTCTGAATGGAAAAACTGACCTGCTCTGTAAACCTTCACCGAATTCACCAAAAATAGTTAAAAAAAGAAAACAAAGACTTTGTGCCCCCAAAGACTTGCTGATTTCCTCTATTCTTTCCCATCAGAGCTACTCTGAGATTCAGAAGCTAGTGTGGTGACGTTGCTGCTTAAACGAGATAAGGGACTGGAACTCCTGTGCCCTGACATTCTGGAAGCTTCTCTTGTTCAACTAGCATATCTCATGGATAAGTCGAAAGAGGGAGAAATGGCAGAAGCCAAACGTGACAGAAATGGTATCTGGAGACAAACAAGACAGGTTATCACGGAATTGTTTTTCTTCTTCTTAAGGTTGTTGCTATTTTGAATAATCTCTGGAGACATGTTTCCTCCTGGAACATTACTTTCATTTTATAATAACAATCAGTGGATGGCCTGATTTCCTTTAAGGTCAGCCTCGCTGATCTCTGTTCTGTAATGGGTCACGCATGAGAAGAATTACTCAATGAGACGGCGGCTCCATGCAGGAAACCTGGATCGATTCTCATGAGTACCCATTACTTACAGAAGCTCTTGTCGTTCTGAGATGCTGATTTCAGCAGAACTTCCAGACAAGATGGGCTAGAAGGAAAGGCCTGGTGAGGTCTACTTTGAAAAATTCTATGGATCACAATGGTCTGGTCCAGGACCAATCAGAGGAAGGCACCGTTAGGCATTTTATGCCTTTGTTGAAAAGGTTGTGATGAGTCAAAGGAAGGTTCAATGCCAGCTCCCAGCCACAGTATCTAGACAAGAGGCAGCCCCTCTCCATGTAAAATCACTCCCCAAGCCAGCAACCTGAGCAAGCAGTGCTACAACCACCTCTTAGAGTGAATTTTTATATTTACTTTCCCTCTTCAATTTATAAACGTTCTTTCTCCTATTTTTTTTTGCAAAGGCAGTGAACTGACTCCAGTGTCCTTCCCATGAGGCTGGGCTTCCTGGGCACAGTATGGAGCCCAGATGCCTCATGACTCCACAGTTTCTCACTCCTTCTTTCCACTCCCTGAAGCATTGGGACCCAGCACTTTCTTTCTCACTGTACACGAAATCGCTGACAAGGAATTTATGTGGAAACTCTGACTGCCATGAATTAAAAACTCATTTCTTCATATGCCTGCTGCACAAAATAAAAAGCTGGAGGCAAAGAAGCAACTGGTTTTCTCAAATCCCATTGAAGACACCACCCAGGAGAGGCTAAGGAACCTGCAGTGGATGTATTACTATTATTAGAGGAATGGATTTTTTGAACGGGGGTCCAAATTTTTTCTTAAATAACTGGTTATCCTCAAAATGGCAGTCTTCACCACAAAATAAACCAGGTGGCACAGAGAACATTCAAAGTGAATAACTAGTCTTTGCTCTGGTGTATATATACATAGATGGAGGCTAAACGAGGGTTTTGGCATTCTACACTTCCCGTATAGATCAATCTGTAAACATTGACAGGAGATGCTTGTGGGTGAGGAGAGCAGTCAATGAGATAGGCATGCAGCTGAAAACATGTTTTGGACATGTTGAATATTTCTTTTTTTTTTTTAAATGGACAAAATTCCCAAAATGCCATGCATGTCTGTTTCTCAAAATAAAAATTGGATGGCCAAAGGAAAAAAAAAATCAAACACACACCACCAAACCAAGACAGGTGAGCCCTTCAGTGAAGACAGTGCATTGTCATTTCCCTGTGGTTTCATCAAGCAAATATGGCATTTGCAAGAGGCAAAAAAGACTGAGGCTGAAAAGAGAAGGAAATGGTACAATTTGAGAGGAGGTGAAATAAAGATATGCCAAGAAGAATGGAAAAGAATTTCTAGATTAAACCAAGAAAAAGTGTTCTTAGGCCTGTTTGATTTTTTTTTTTTAAAAAAAGGTCTTAATTATGTTATTAAAATACTAATTTTCTAGTTCTTTCTCTGGATAATAGGAAATGTTGTTCTACTGGCTGTCCAAATGTATTTCCAGGGAAAACTGATGTGGAGGTGTCTAATTCTGTACTGCACATTATTTCAGCAGTTATTAAACCTGTCCGATACTCCCTAAAGCCCAGATGACTTTAAAGGTGTTCCGTCTCACACTGTTAAGTGGGATAGAGATTTCATAGTTCTACCTTCATAGGGATGAAGGTGGGTGATGGGGCGACAAGTCAATGCTTGAAAACAAACTTATCCAAATGTCCGTCTTCGTGTCACATGCCCACAAAGTTCATGAACACAAACTCAGAAAGTAATATCTAGAGCTAAGGTCCTGTTATAGTTTTAACCTAACTATACTTAAACCATGTGGCTCCTTGGAGGCAAGGATTCTGAGGCTCCGTCTAACATACTTTGGACATGTTGTGAGGAGAGACCGGTCCTTAGAGAGGGACATCATGCTTGGGAGGGTGGAGGGACAGCGCAGGAGAGGAAGGCCCTCTATGAGGTGGATTGATTCAGTGACTGGGATAATCGGGATGGGAGTGTCGGAGACAGTGCGATTGGCACAGGACAGAGCGGAGTTCAGGGCTGTTGTACATAGGGTCGCTATGAGTCGCAGGTGACTCGACGGCACATAACAACAACAACAACATACTTAAGACAAGGATAGTTTTAACTGGCACAAGACCACACGAGGATCAAGTGAGCCACTCAAAGTGGTCAATGTGAGAAAAGTCTCAGGCTGCTGGGATTTAAGCTCAGGGCCTGGTCACCCAGTTATCAGAAGTCCTGCCTCTGTGTTATCAGGGGGCGTGTCAAAAGGCATACAGGGAGAGGCACTGGGAAGAACAACAACACATAAAGGAAATGGAAGAGCAAAAACTACCCTCCACCGAGACCAACTGGGCAGGCACAACTACTTTATAAAAAGTCTGTGAGTCAGAGTGGAGAAAAGGCTGGATGGGTAAGGAAGAGAATTCTGTTATTGTAAAACAAAACCCACTACCAAAAGCGAAACGGAAGCCTAAGAGAGGTCTTGCTACATACTGATAGTATTAAAAGCGATGAAAGATTTATACAAGTGGGGAAAGATGGAAAAGTAAGAAGGCAGTTAATGCATGTTGAAATATTTAGAAAAACCAAGGGCTTGCAACCTACAGGCCTTTTAGGAGAGGGAAGGTTATTTTAAGGATGGCGTTGGCCATTCAGCTTCCACAAAAGCAGAACTTCGATGAATTTAAATGACAGTCATTGTCCGGGGAGGCACATCTTATTCATGAATGTGCAGAAACTCTGAGAAAGTCACCGCTGGAGGCGTTGAACCCACTCTTTCAAGGGGCGCCCGGCCAGCAGTCCCAGTTGGATTAAGCGTGGAGCTGGGGGAGAGCTAAGCCAAGCACCCCACAGTTCCTCCTTGTTCTAAGCTACTTTCTATGGGTTATTGTGCAGGCAAAAAGGGGGATGGGAGCTTCGGGAGGAGAATACATATACTCTCAAGTTCAAAAGGAGTCTGACTTTGAAAAGACATGTTCCTGGGCGTTACTCATTCACTAAGAGGCTTGAAAACAATTGGATGATTTGAATATAGGTATCCATTCCTTGCTATGTGTAGAAGAGATTTTATGGGGCAAAGTGGGACACTGTAAAATGCAGATTCCTTCATTTAAGGGGGGGAGGAGGTCCCATTAAGTGTGTGCAAACCAAAAGGGCTCTATGCCCCTCCTTCGCCTCCCTACTAAATGAAATACACTCAGCCACGTTTTCAAATCATCCAGTTGGTGACTGTGACGTGAGCTAATTTTCCATGGCCAGTTGCCACAGTTTGCAGTAACTGCAAAGCGCAGGCATCTCTTTGAAGGGCATGTCGTTCTTCTGTTTTGAATCAGCTTCTGCAAGGCCAAGTGACACGATGGCTGGGAGTCAAGACATGTGTGGCTAAGAAAGACCAGAGCCACCACTGCCCCGCACGTCCTGCCCTGGCCCAGTGTCCAGGGGTGGTTTAAGTCTAAAACCTAACAATTCAATGGGCAAGAAGAGAAATGGGGGAAGGTCAAGGGGGGAAAAAAAGGTGGCTATGAACTACAGATGTGAGGCGACGGTGGGATGGAGCCCAAATGTCATGGTTAAAGAGAAAAGAGAGGAAGAAGGCAGGCTTGGCAGAGGAAAGGCCATAATGCTTGACTGCACATCACAGAAATGACAAGGCTGGCCTCGTGACCATGGGTGTGACTCACAGACTTCTGGTGGATTCTCAAGAGAACCCTTTTAGTACAGCGGTCCACTGTGGCGGCCCACTTCCTCTTGGCCTCCTCCTCCTCCTCCAGCAAATACCGCTTCAGGTCCTGCTTCTCAGCCTTGCTCAGGGTCCTGTCTGAGACGGGCCGCACTAGCTGGGTCAAGTTCAGGTGGCTGTAGAGACTCCGTTCCACCACGTAGGTGATATTGAACTCGCTGACCGATGCCCGGCTGCGCGCCCTTCTACCGGGGAAACCACAGCTGCTCCCAGCTCGGGACTTGGGCCGGGGCACCTGCAGGTCACAGGTGGCATTGCTCCCGCCCTTTCTGGAGGGACGCTGGCAGAGAAAAGCTCTGGAACACGAGTAGTTAGTATCCATCTTCTTCAGGCGGATTTGCTTCCGCACGCTCTGCACCTCCTCCAGGGATACCAGCAAGTGGCGCCTGCGTCTGTGGTTGTCATAGAAACAGACCCCATCCGTACTTACCCCATGGCTCAGGGACCCCAGGCCCTTCTTCATCTCTCCCTCCGTGAGGGAGCGGGAAACCTTCTGGGCCTTTTCTTCTTCTGGATAGGAGAAGAACGTCCCCATCTTCTTAGGGGGTTTAATCAGGCTTCGGCCATCTCCTTTGCTGAAGGTTTTGACCAGTTTCCGGCCAGCTCCCCAAGTATCCAGGCTGCTGGAGGATGGAGAGGTGGTGAGGGAGTCGGAATCATCTTCAGGAGGTTTCTCAGGAGAGCCATCGAAGAACAACGGCTTCTTGTGGACTCCTGAGTACAGAGCAGATCTCTCATCCACGCCTGGGGAATTGTCAAAGGCCTGCTCCTCCCCTGAAAAAGAATCAAGACAGACATGTTCATGCACCATTCGACTATTTGTCTCCATGTGTCTGCAGCCAAAGACAAAAACTCAATGTATAAAGAAAATGAAGACTCAAGGGAAAAACTAGTACATGATTAATAAGCAAGTTATAAACCATGGTCTCCACTCCCGTGAGATCAGAGGGACTAGATGGTGCTCAGCTGCTACTATCGCCTATTCTGACCAGAGATACAATGTATGGTCCTGCGTGGAAAAGGGGGGCGGGGGAAGGTAGAACCAAACTCAAATTCCTGATAATTTCCAGACTTGACATGGTAGAGACTAGAGGAACTCTCAAGACTGTTACCTTGGGATATTCTTTAAACATGGAACTCAAACCACTCCCAAATGTTACCTACCAGCCGGAAGACTGTTGGTGTTATGTATCATCAAGTGAGAACAGACTCACAGTTAACCTCTGGTGGGTTTCAGAGGCAATAAATCTTACAGAAGCAGACTATCCATCTCCTTCCCGTTGAACTATGTGTGGATTCAAACTGCATGCCTTAGAGTTGGCAGTGCAACTCCTTACCACTAAGCCACCAGAGCTTCCTTCTAACAGATAGAGTGCCTCATAAAAGAATACCATCCACACAATAATAAAAAAGAAATAGTATCATTTTCTTGATCAAATTAAATATCTCAAAAGAAGCTTTAAAATGTTATTTTTGTGATTAATTTTATACAACATAACAAATGGGAATAATTGTATCTAACAATATGAAGGAAGGTTAGTGTGAAACACAATGTATATGAACTTTGTTAGCAAACAAATATAAAAGTTTTTAAAAAAATACTATTTTTAAGATGGAAGCTGGACATGATACAAATATTTCTCGATATTTAAAGGTCTTTACTCTCCCCAGGTTTAAATAGTACATGGTCCTCCAATCAGCTAAATGAGACCAACTGTCAACATACCTGGGACAAAGGATGTGGAGGTACAGGGAGGGGAACACGGAAGACAGATTGACAGAAAGAGAACAACCAAACTGGAAAAAGGAAAATGACGACATCACGTAAAAAGCATGGTCAATGTCACCGAGTAATATGCACAGCAACTGAATGAGAATTTAATTTGCTATATAAATACTTCAGTGTAAAAATTAACAAATATATATGTATATATATATGTGTGTGTGTGTGTGTGTGTGTGTGTGTGTGTGTATATATATTTATACGCAATATTCATGCTCCCTTGATAAGACTTCTGCATTCTCTCACGGATCTTTCTTTATATCCCAACCCTATAATAATAGCAATAATGATAATGCTATTTTTCATATTATTACACAACAACAATAATGTTGTTGTGTACCAATAGGTAGGAACTGACTCATAACTGGTCCTCCTGGGAGTTTTTAGAGTCTAGATTACATAGGAAGAGATTGCCTATAATTCTCCTACAAAGCAGCTGGTGGATTTGAACTATATATCTTTGGGTTGGCTGCGTAATTCCTTACCACTAAGCCACTAGACCTTCCTCTACCAACAAACACAAGTCACGAAATCTCCCTATAATAATGGTATTAATAATCTACGCTACACAGAAATTACATTGGTCTGCTTCCTAGTCTGTGGAAAATGAAAGTTGTAGTAAAGTCATTTGCAACTCTTGGCTCAGATGTTACAGAGCAGAAGAGTTCCGTAGTGTTGTCTCGGTTGTAATCTTCTTGGGAAACCTTAGTTAAGTACCTGGCTACTAACAGGTTGATGGTTCAAAATCACCAGTCACTCCTCAGAAGAAATAGAGGGAAGTCTGCTTTGAAAAGGTTCCAGCCAGTTCTCCTCTGCTCTACAGGATTCCCATGAGTCAGAATCAGCATGAAGGAAATGTGTCCGAGTTAAATCTCTATGGAAGCAAATCGCCGATTTTCTGCACTGCCATAGGGTGGGTTTGAAATGCCATCTTTAAGTTATTCATAAACCGAATGTACCACTGAGGGGCTTATTACCCTCTTCATAAGCCCTATTCCCACTTCCATATATGCATTTAGAAAAGGAAATTAACAAACCCAACCATTGTAGTTGCCCAAAAGCTTAGTGTTAAAAGGTTTTGGATGTGTTTTCCTCTTCTTAATCATACATCTACAATTTTCTTCATAAAACCAAACACCTCGACAGAACCACAAAAGAGGCAATGTTTAAAATGACAACCAAGCATTATTAGGAGAGGTCTTAGCATGTAAGAAAAATTGACCTTCCCAATTAAAAGTATATTATGTATAAGAAGCTAGAGACGTTAGAACTGTCCCCCTCCTGAAAGGCTGTCATTATAGTGGCTCCGGTTGACTTTTGACAGTCGGAGTGTTCTGAATGTTATGTGGCTGACAGGGATTTTTTTTTTATTTTATTAGAACATAGACCATTCAAGTGATTAAATCATCAAGGGAATATGGGTGTGGAAATACCATAAAAGGCAGTATCTTGCAAATATAATTTATAAAAGGTCTCCAGTGACAAGCCAAATGCAAAACTTGAGGGACCTGGGTGATCCCAGCCAGATGGTCCCATCAATTCTGGCCATGCAAGGAAGGCGACAAGGGCATTTAAGGGCCTGGACACGCAGGCAGGCCACTGAGCACTGAAGGCCTCCAGCTTTGAGGCCTTGGCGGATGCCAGGTACTGAGCCAAGTCCTCCGGAGCCCAGTGGAAAGGTTTGGAGCTTCTGGCAGGAAAACGGAGTTCTTTTCGGCATGTGTTATGTGAACAGATGTGCACAAAGAAGTAGGTCAGGCTGTGGGTGTCGTGATGCTAACTGGCTGTGTCCCTTTAATTATAAGGAAACTCTAGTGCTGCAGCTTTCCACCAGCTGAACTGCAAAGACAGGAAAAACTGAAAAGTTTCTTGGAAATGAAGGATGGCACTAAATGAGCCAGCTGGGACCAGGTGCCAGGGCACAGTGAAATGAAAAGGGTAAAGGAGAGGCGGGGATGCCTGAGACGGTAGCAGGCATTCCAGAGCCTAAATGCTTCTTCCTTGACCCAATGATAAGAATTACAGTTGCAAATATAAAGAGAAAATGATTGTCATTATTAAATACAGCCCAGGATAAACTTTATTAATGTTGAGGAGAAGGAGAAGGAAGGAGACTCAAACTATGCCCAGTCTAAAGTCTGCTATAAGATTTTTCAAAAAGTTAAACACAGAATGACCGCATGGGCCAGCAATTCTCCTCTTAGGTAGATGCCCTAGAGAGTAGAAGACAGTTCAGACACCAGTGTTCATCCCGACACCCCTCATAATAAAAAAATGACGCGATTGTCACTGAGTTGGAACAGACTCAAAGCAGACCCTCCCGTGGAGGTTTGAAGGCTGTGAATTGCGTGGCAAGAGACTGCTCCTCTTTTGCTCTCGGAGTCACTGGTGGATTTGAACTTCCAGAGAAGCGCTGCCTTTGGGTTAGGAGTGCAAATCCCTATGGATTGGGCCACCAGGGTTCCCAACTCAGCTTTTCACAACAGCCCCAAGAGAATGGAAACAACCCAAAGGTCCATCAGAAAATCCATTAACCTCATTAAGCGTATAACATGAATTCAGCTCTGCTTCTACAGTGATGATGGGAGTGGGGGGTGCAGTCGCTGGGCTCATTTGCTGGTGGTTCTACCTTCGAATTAAGAAAACATTAAGTATATAGCCATACGATGGAATATTGCTCAGCCATAAAGAGGAACAGCATTCTGCTCCATCCTACAGCATGAGTAAATCCGGAAAACATTACACTGAGTGATGTAAGTCTGCTGCCAAACAAGGTAGATTAGAGGTTAGTGGGGACTAGATAGGGAGAAATGGAGAATTACTGCTGAATGGCATTGAGGATCTCTGTCTACAGTCAGGAAAAGTTTAAGAAGTGAACAATGGAGTCTGTAAGACATCGTGAACACATGTACACCTAAAAAGTAATGACAATGGCAATGGCAATTGCTTTGTTACATATATTTTGCTGGTGTCAGCGTTAGGCGCCATTGACATGGTTCTGACTCATGAGTGACCCTACAAACAACAGACTAAAACCCTACCATTTCCTGCACCAGCCTCAAAATCTCTGCTGTGCTTAATAAGCCCATTCTTGTAGTCGGATATATTTCACTGCAATAATGAAAAGAAAAAAAAGTTGTGTACAATCTGCAACGTAAATACAGTTGCTTAAGAATTGTCCCAGGATCTTTCCATACTTAAAAGAGGGGTGCAAGGTTCTGACAGGAATTCCTCAGCCAAAAAACAGTCAGGGTATCCGGACCACCTCCTACACCTTCCTCAGGACATCTGACCAATGAGGTATTAAGACCAAAGGTTCTTCTAATGGGAAAAACGACACTCTCTTCAAATACAGACCACCCTCCACTTCTTCTGGAAAAGCCTGGGCCAGGGAGAGAGGTGCTGTCTGGTGACAGATGCAGTAAACTAGCAGGTGTCCCGGAGACATGTAAAGATGCTTATCCATCTCTGGTTTAAAGGGGGTTTGGGGGGAAGTCAGATGTATCTACCCCAGGAATCTTATGAATCTGGCCCTCAGCCGTGGTCTGGGACCTCCTGGACCCATGTTGTCACTAGAGATTCCAGTAGTTCCATGTCTCACTGAGCTAGGACCAGGTGGTGCACACATGCAGATGAGCTGCTTCCTGGTTCCAGAAAGTCAGTGTCTGGCAAGGAGGGCAGTGGCTATGTGGATACACCCACCCGTGGTGAAGGCAGGCCTGACAGAGTTAGCCCTTTTGTCCACACCTATCCTGTAGACCCCAAATCCCACACTCTGCTGTTAATCTTCCAACTTCGAGCACAGGTGCCTACTTCTCCTCTGACTGAGAAGTCCAACTCGCCTGTATGTGTGAAGAGTGACAAATGCTCTCACTCCATGATCACTGGGTTCATACAATGACCTTCAACTATTGTACAGACAGGACAGGACAGGAGGCTACGGCATGGCTTAATGCCATGGCTTTGTGCTCTGGATTCCAAGGCTGGCTCTGCCACTCGCAGCGTTTCAACCCTGGGCCATGATGCATCTTCTGATAACCCGTTTCCTCATCTGTGATGATGTTGACCTATCTTAGTAAGGGAGGACCTGGGTGCTCTGAAGAGTGCCCAGCTGTTAACAGAGAGGTTGCAGGGTCGGGATTACTCAGAGATGCCTTAGAAGAAGGTCAGGTGATCAGCTTCTAACAAAATCAGCTGGTGGAAATCCTGCAGCACTCAGTACATGCCGACAGACCCAGTCGACAACATCAGTCAGAGCCAACTTAATGGCAGCTCTGATGGCTTTTGTTTATCTTTGTAAGATCCCCTACAAAGTTACTGATGACGTTAAATGAAAAAAGAAATGTGAAGGCAATACTTAAGCTGATGAGTGTTATGCAAAAGCTAATGCTTTACGATGGGGTTCAGGTGGGCTAGAGCAATTGAGGGGTCAGGAAGGGCATCAGGGAGAAAAAAATCAGACATGGCCAGATGAAGCGTGCGGAAGTGACTGTGAGTAAATTATCTCATCTCTGTGTCAGTTTCCTCATTTTTTAAAAAAATTTTTCTATTATTTCTTATGTGTGCACCGTCGAATCAGATCTGACTGTTGCAGGAGGAGACTGTCCCTCCTTCTTCAGCAGAGTATCTGGTGGATTTGAACCATGCACCTCTGGTATTGCAGTGCAACTTCTCGCCACTAGACCAGCAGAGCTTGCCCAGTTTCCTCATTTTTAAAACAAGGCTACAGCTGGGCTGGGTACTGTTCAGAGGACCGTATGGAAAAGGAAATACAAACCTCAGTGTTTAAAAGAAATATGTGGCCTTTAGTATCCTTGCCACTACCACATAGTCAAGCGGCACGGACATGCACACACAGGATGCCCAAGGGTCCACTCTCTGCTGGCTGGGGGGACAGGACAGGAGGGGCTGGGGCAGGGTGAAGGAACCTTCCCCAGGTCAGCAGTCCCTGTGTTCACGTGGAAAAGCAGTGGACAGCCAATAAGCAAAGGGGACAGGGTCTTCCTGGTGCTTCCTGACTTGTCTGGAGTGAGCAGTCAGACATGGTTCCACAACATCAGAAATCCTGCTGATAGACCTGGTAGGCATCTGTCTCAGTCCCAGCCCCACAGCACCATCTTGCAGAACCAAAGCCTCTTTGGTTACCATCTCTAACAGGAGCAGCAGGCGTGACAAGCATGACCTGACTTATCTGTGGTGTGGGGTCCTCATGGGTTCACCCCAGATGGGAAGGGAAGCCTGTGCTTGTCTTGACCACTTGCAGGGGGTCAGGGCAGCTTCTGGTGTGGCCACATGTTGGGGAGCATCCCAGGAAACTCAATCTGAGCTGCATATACCTCTGGGCTCCTCACACAAGCCTGGCTAAGGGCACCCCAGAATCCACACTCTGACTCAGGGACACTGGGCATCTCTTGGGCTTCAGGTCATAAATTTCATCTTCTACCTGGGAGTCCCAGGCTAGACCCAGATGAATCAAGGGCTGAGGAAGTTCTCACTGTTGTCCTGCAGACACATTGTTGTTCTGTACCGCCAAGTCAGAACAGACTCATAGCCAACTCTCCAGCAGATTTACAGAGGCTGTGAACTGGGTCAACTGGCTGAGAGGAGAGTGTCTGTCTCCCATGGAACAGCTGACAGATTCAAACTGCACGCCTTTGGGTGGACAATACAACTCAACTATGTTGTTGTAGTTACATGCTGTCAAGTCGAGTATGACTCATAGTGACCCCATGAACAAAAGATCTGAACCCTGTTCTCTCTTGTGCATCCTCACATTTCCTGACAAGAACCCACTGCAGCAGTCACTGTGTCAGTCCACCTCGTTAAGGGTCTTCCTCTCCTTTGTGACCCACCACTCTTTCCAGCATCTTGTCCTTCTCCAAGGATTAGCCTCTCCTAGCAACATGCCCATACTATGTGAGGCGAAGCCTCATCATTCCTGCCTCCAAGGAGCACTCCAGCTGCATCCTCTCCAAGACTTATCTGTTCATTCTCACGGACTTCCATGGGATGTTCAATGCTCTTCTCCAACGCCACAGCTCAAAAGCATCAATTCTTTTCCTGTCATCCTTATTCACTGTCCAGCTCTCAGATAAATAGCAACTCAACTATACCTCTCAAATAGCCACAGCGATTTACTCTGTTTACAAATGAAAACATGGCTTAACTTTTAAAGACACATTGCAGTGGGAAGGTTTACCATCCCCTATGACCACCGTGTAGAGAAGGCCTTCAGGTGGCCGAGGTGGGGGGATGGGGGACGACGACCTTCTAACATGTTCTCTCAGTCATGGGAAAAACTCCACCAGTCTATTGGCTATTATTACATTTTCACTTTAGCAAGTGAGTCTGAGGTGAATTTTAAAAATGTGTCCCCAAATTTAAGCACTGGCAGTTTCACGAGCTACACCCTAATATTACCAATAGGCGCTATGTGAGGCCTCAGCAAGAGCTGCCATGGTAAGAGAGGAGTCACAGCGAGTGTGGTGACAGGAGGGCATTAAAATGTCCCAGCGCCAAATCCGCACAGCACCCAAACAGAAACAGAGTCACCATGGAGAAAGACTCCAATGAAACGTGTGGTCAGATACAGTTCAAAGTTTAAGAAATTGGCTGTAAGACAGCTTTCCCTCATTCTCCCCTCCTCCGCCCTCCATTCTCTAACACGCCGTGTTCCTCTAAACCTCATGGAAGGATAAATAATAACAATGTCAGGACAGTAATAACAGGAAACCCCCAGCTTGGCAAGTCTGGGGAAGTTGATTTCTTTTATAAGGCCTGAATTTATTTCTGTCAACAAAAATAAGTCTCTACCATGAGAATCTTTAAATCTGCAGGCAAAAAAAATCTGAAATTCCTTGCTGTGTAGATATGACATTTTAACAAGCAATGTGTTTTTAAATAACAAAACAAAAAGCCCCTAATTTCCTCAGTTTGCTTATTATCACTTCGGAAGAGGAAAACACTCTTATTTTCTATTGTACCTGAGGGGAGCGTTTTCCAACAGGCTGCAAGGCTCACTGCCACAGTTAAGGAGATGAATAGGCTGAGGCTTAAACTGACATAATTGTATTTCACAGGTTAACCTTTGGCTACAGCCACGCCACAGTTCCCTCACTCTGCTGACGTGACCATTAGCTCTGACGAGCGGCTGAGGCAGCCACGTCGTTCTCAGGGATCCACTTAGGATGAAAACACCTTCCAGCCCCTTTAATGGAGACGGGAGACTGCTTACCGGAAGAACAAATGCTTCCTCTGAGATTTGAAAGGCCAAGCCAAGTGATGTGTCTGTGTCACGGTTAGATGTTTGTTTAAGACAGATGCCTATCAAATTTGGACTAAATTCCCCGGGCAAGGAACCAGAGCTCTTTGGAGAGACTGGAGGCCTACATTAAGAGGCAATCAACGTGAAGTTTATATATCGTGGTATGTGCTAAGGATTAGAGCCAAGCCACACTACCTGAGGAAGGTGTTGTTGCCACCTATTAGCTGTGTATTGCAGTTGCCCAGCTTTGCAGCACAGAAGGAGTGCAAAGGGGCTTTGCTCAAGGATGTTCGCTTCTTTTAAAGCGTCAAGGCTTGCAAACACTGTTCTCTCCACCAGCCTCACCCAGAACCCCATTCGTTATCACTAGACATTGCACTCGTTTTCTATTGGCGCTGGGCCCCGGCTGACTGTATCTGGCATTCCCAGGGCACGAGAGGACCAGTTACCTTCTGGAGTAGGCTTCCGCATCTCTTCCACTCTAATGAGTTTCTTCCTGACTCTGCGCGTCGAGTTAACCAGCTTGTGCAACCTCTTAAACTTCACCGACTCCTCGCTTTCATCATCCGATTGTTCTCTTGACTGGCAAAGAAACAAAGGGAAAAAATTAATCAGATCCCAGCTGCAGTGCTCTGCCCTGGCGGCCGGGAAGGACCCAGCCTCGCTGACCATCTGAATCTCGGCGCTGCCATGGACTTGGGGCAACTCCAAATGGCCCGGAGAAGTTTCATGAAGCTCCACGTACCATCGTGATGTCTAACTCAGGTCCTGTGCCCCCAAACCCGCATTCCTGGCCCTTGACTTGTGTGGGGCGCAGTTTGTCTCAACTGAGTCCATGTCCTCGGAGAGGGGCGCGCAGGCCACCTCCCCGTCCAGGCCTGTAATTCCAGCTACGCGGCTGTGGTCTGGGCCAGGCTCTTCTCTGTCTGGCCCATCAGGACTCGCCGCTGAGTGTGGCGATCAACTACTTCTCCAAACCCCAAAACTCTGTTGACTTTTTTCCAGTCCTCTCCGAAATCAAAAACAGCCGGGCAGGAAAGGGGAAAAGATGCAAACAGCCAGCTTCCATCCCATTTGCTAGGAGGTCCCTGCCACATCACAGGCGTCCCTTCCGCCTCTCTCCAAGAGCTGGCCGGGCGGGCCAGGGGATGGGGCCTGCGCTCTTCCCAGAGGGACAAGGGAAAACGCTGACCTTTTCAGCCGGCCAGTGCCGTCCATATTCCCCAGCAGCCCGTTCCGTGCTGCAGCTTTTGCAGCCTGCTCGGGCCCAGCTGTTTTCCCTCAACATTACAACGAGAGAGAGGGTGGTAAAAAAAAAAAAGAAAGAAATCCTCGCACCGCAGCGGTTACTCGGACTGAAACAATCCTCTCCTTGTGAACAAAATGAGGGCTTCTCTTCCAAGTCTGCGCTAGCATTCAATACGCTGCTTCCTCTACTTTATCTGTTGAAAATGTAGAAAAGCAAAAGAAGTGGCCAACTCCAGGCGCCTGCTGCTCAGGCCCGGGGTAAGCCTTCCCAGGGCGCCCAGCCGGCGTGAGCGCGCAGCCCGCACACCCAGCGCGCAGCTTCGGGGTACTCTGAGCGCAGGCTCCTCTTGGCTTCCTCCAGCCCGGCTCACCAAAGCACGCGGAAAGCAGTGCAGCGCGGGAACAAAACAGAACCACATCTCTGACCTGGACTCTAACTGGAAACTTTTTCCTTCCAGTGAATGCTCCAGAAACTCAATTTTATAGACAATAAAACTGGCAAGCAAGACTTGGTAGACAGCCTGAGAAAAAGTAGAGCTGGCGATTCTAATAATAACTTTGATGTAAAAACAGTGCACACGTGGCATTCATAAACATTTTCTTAACGCTATGGAACAATTTGAAGCTCCTACTGGCCAGGGGTTGTGCTGCCAACTCAAAGGCACCAGGTTCGAATCCACAAGCTGCTCCCAGGGAGAGAGATGGGTGTGATTTACAGACTCTGTAAACTCCTTGGAGGGTCAGCTATGAGTGGGTTCTGGCTCCATAGCACATAGTACCAACAACAAGGAAGGAAGCGATACATATAACGCATTTCTCAGACTCTGACCCCAACCTGGTTAGCACAAACAATTGAGTGCTTCCCTACTAAAGGTTGGGGGGTGGGAAGCCATCCAGAGGCAGCTTTGAAGAAAGGCCTGGTGATGGGTGCTGAAAGGTGATAGCCTTGAAAACCCTAAATCTCAGCTTACTGCTGTGGAGGTGGAACTGACTCCGGGCTGACCCTCAAGTGGGGTTTCAGTAAATCACCTGGGCAAATTGCTCATCTCCGTGGCTGGGCGGTTTGAACCTCCTCTGGAGAGGTGCCACCTCCCTACGGATTAGGGATTACAAATTCCACCCTGAAGTACAAGAGGCCAGCGTGACTCAAAAGTGACTCAGCAAAAATGACCGTTGGGCTCTCCCACCCCAACCTTAAGTAGTTAATAGCATGGAGCCAGAATATTGTCTCTGCGTGTCTGTGAGCAAACCATTTCACCCACTGATGAACAGTTTTCATAAACCCATAATTGGCAAGTCATATAGGACAGGAATATTTCTCCATCTTTCCTTCTGAAAAGCGCAACAATAACTATGCCCTAATTTCTCCACAAAGTATCTAGATAAAACATTACACACGCATTTCACAGCTAAGGTTAATCATGGGTGAATGGTGTAAACCTTCCCTAATGAATGGCAGTGCTGATGCATAGAGTTGTGCTGCATAAGAAAGGCCTGGTGATATCCTTCCCTACAAAGTACAGCCAAGAAAACTCCGAAGAGCAGTGACACTGTGCACATGCTGGTTCACCAGGAGTCAGAATGGGCTTGATGGACACGGGCTGAGGTCTGTTTTATTTTGCTTTTTCCCTCCACATTGATCACTGGATAATGAAGAATGAATACTTCTCCAGAGAAAAAGGACAGGAGCTTATACTGGATGCTGGACACTGGCATTGCATTTAACCTACTTGTCTTCTCAAAGGCAAATAACAAAAAACCAAAATGGTACATCCAGTTGTTTATAAAAAATGCATTGCTTGAATTTCCTTTTCACTCAGTTGCACTGCTGGTGTATTAGGAAACAGACCGGTTAACCAGAGGGCTGAGAAGCTGAGGGCTGAGTAGCCCTCCCTCTGGGTCATCTGCACCTAGCCAGGCCAAAGTGCATGGAATTAGACACAAACATTTAAATACCTGTTGCTAGGTGATTCTAAACGAAGAGAGATCGAAACCCCAGGCACATCTTGGGAAGCTGGCAAGTTTGTTTCCACACTGCCACAGAGAACAGTGGACATCACTACTAAGGGAGTCACGTGAATTTTTTGTTTGTTTCTCAGCTTTGTTTACACTATTTTGTAGTCTGTGACGTGTTCATTAGCTTTATAAATAAGTTTGAAATCCAGTATTGTGGGTGTTACTGTTGTTAAGAGGAAGTTAGTGCTGCTGGGAAACATAAATGGCGCCAACAGACTTGGTTGGTTCAGAGTTGCCAGAGCCTTCAGATGTCATCACTGCGGTCTGATTAACAAAGCACGCCAGTGCATCACGACACGTGAATGAGACAGACATGTCTATAATCTTCACATGGACGTAAACTTTCATTAAAATTAATTAAAAAACCAAACAAAAAGTCCCAACAAACAATAAATAGCCAGTAAACAGGAACTCAAATCCAGGTGTGAAGAACTGAAAACCACAACTCAACCACCCTGAGTTCACTGACATACTTCTCGGTGTGAAATGCATCTTAGGAGTCAGCTCACAAATTCAAGAGGCTTCAGAAACCACATTTAAATTTGTATTCTGTCAATTCCTGGGACTTGATATTTTTTCATAGTTATTTGGGAGTGGGGTTTTTTTGTATCTTAAAAATATCCTTTCTTACTCTAATATTGTGTGCTGGTGGCCTAGTGATAAGAAACTGCACAGTAAACCCAAGGCACCTGGTTTGGGTTTTCTAGTAACTTTTATAGTTTTAGAACCTTATCTGTTACACTGAAGTCTTTAATAACTGGAATATGTTTGTATAGGATCTTTGTGTAGGATATGTTGTGTAGGAATATTTTTGTGTAGGATAGAAATCTAATGTCCCACCACCAAATTTATAATGAAAAGTGTCCTCTTTTTCCTCTTGTAAAAAAAAAAATCAAGCAGAAAAGAAGTAAGCAGAGGTTATTTATACAGTCAGGCGCATGGCAGGATGAAAATCAGTTGATGCAAGCATACTGTGGGTAGGGATGGAGTGGTGGTGGTATTGGTGTGTGTGTGTGTGTGTGTGTGTGTGTGTGTGTGTGTGTAGGACAAGACAGAGGAAAAAAGAGAAAAGAGATACACAAAGACGAAGTTCAAAATTCTTAGTCATCTAAGATGTAATTCCTAAATGAGAAGGATACTCCAGCAGAAAGAACTTTCTAGGGTTATAGAAAACAGTAAAATCAGGACAATTGCTTAAAGACAAGAGCCACTTAACTTTCCTATGCTCATATCCATTCTGATAACAAGAGAAATTTATCTGGGTACTTATTTCATTGTTTTCACACGTTCCATCTATTTTGGACTGAAACATGGGCTCTTTGGAACATTGAACTCATGTTAGTTTTCTTTTCCTTAAAAAAAAAAAAAGTAACTTTGGAGGCATTTACCATTTACAAATACTGGTGATGAAGAACTTTCTCTGCATTTTCATGTTTTCGACATGAGACAAGACAGATGCTGCAGCACAGTGTACATGAAGGGAAGTGGAAGACAAGAGTTATTCTAGAAATGTGCGTGTGTGTGCGTGTGTGTTCTCTACGTCACGCTTCCTCTTAACTCAGTCTCGAAGCCACTCAAGTTCAACACAGCATCACTAGAATACTCTCTACTGATGGAGAGACAGTTACACCTCGTTTCCTTCTCAACGTCACAAAAAAAAAGCACTGTGAAAAAATGTGCCTTTTAAAAATTTTTCTCCAGCTGTTTTAAAACAAAGATGTTGCAGAGGGCAAACATTTCTTATCAACTAGGGAGAAAAGCTTGAATTCCTCATTGTGTGTTTCTCCTTTTAAATCACCACGCATCACTTCTCCAATACTATAAATAACACTCTGTGCATATCTATGTATGTTTGCTGTTGCTGATTGTCATCGAGTCAAGCATGACTCATATCGACTCTATAAACAAAAGGCCTGAAGCTTTCTGTAACTATCATTGTTTCTCAAAGTTCATAGAGTTTCCAAAGGCATGTTGTGTGTTTACATAGCAAATATACCTGTGGATAAGTGTGTGTTAAATTTGCTATAAGAATTAGGAAATATCCATCAACAAACAAATGGATAGAGAAGCTGTGGTATATTCACACCATGGAATACTACGCTGCATGGAAATACAAGGAATTAATGAAATATTATACAAAATGGGTGACCATAGAGGACATTATGCTGAGTGAAATATCTCAGTCACAAAAGGACAAATACTGCATAATGGCACTGTTGTAAAGCAGGACTGACATTGGAGTTGGGGGGAATGTAAGAAAAGAGGGGATAGATAATGTATACTGCATTGAAACAGATGAAGGAGAGGACTGTTTGAAA